CGCAATACTAAATTTGGTGACAAGCTTTATAGCTCTTAACCAACAGAATATCAAGGCCCTTCTCATTAGAAGTGCCATTGTACTGCAGTGCTCTTATTCTGAGTAGTAACAGAAGCTATGAACGAAAAGATGTGAAATATATTCAATCAGCCCATGAATACAGGTAGTCACAAGCAAATGCTAATAATATATGTATATATATTCAAAATATACAAGTTTATATTTTGTTCGTTAGAGGGCGCCACATGACCAGCCGTCGTGAGAGACACACCGGGCGTCGCGGATCGGGAGACGATCTCCGGCCACCGTAAGCACTGCGGACTACGGACGGCGAGCACGGGTAACTCGCCGCCCGAGCAGAACCAAGCCCGAGCGTACAGCGCGTTGCGTTCCGCGCGTGCCTCAAGGACCCATTAGACCACCACAGATGGGGCCCAACAGAGCTGATGCCGATACGGAGCCGCGGAAGACAACGGGTCGTAGGGGCTCCGGCTCGAAGTGCAGGAATAGGAACGGGGTGGTTTTCAGTCAGTAAGAGTCTGACACTCTCTCGCCTCACCCGGGCGGGAGAAGTCATTGGACGATTATCCCCCTCAAAAAAAAAATGTGTAGAAAAGCAGAAAAAAAGACTCACGTATGTGTGTGTTTTTACAAATTTAATTTAGCACTCGTGCAAAATGGGGTTACATGTTTTGTTCTGGTATTTGTGCTTATCCCAACAAAATGTAGAAATTATAGAAATAACAAGTGAATGACTGCATAGACTTTACTGTTAGCCTAAACAGTTTATTCTGATGTAGGTAATTCCTCGCCAATAACGATATGTTGTTGTTTTCAATAATTTTACTTTAGTCAGTGTTGAAACATAATAATCGAATGTCAATCTATCTCTTCGGAGAACATAAAGTGTGATTTTGTTAATTTCATATTGAGTTTGATAGTGTAGCGTGCCGCGTGGCCACATTTGTAATTCCACGTATCAACAGGGCGACGGACAAGAGACGAAGCGGGAGGTAGAGTGATGAGCTCCGTCGACGGGCAGTCCTCACGATTGTACCTATCCATTGTGAAACATGAACTGAGATGCAGCTGCGACGTCGTGTGTCGTCGCAACCCTGTAGGATATAGAATGCGTTGGGCGTACGATTCAATCTAATCCATCGTTCAACATATTAGGTATTTCAGGGTTTCTATTATAACTTTCGTTAGACATACTTAATAAATTATTATGTTTTCGGCTTACTCACGTAATTATTTGACAAGTAACTCGACTAGTTTCAAGTCATGCTATGCAAGCCCCATTTTCTCCTGTCGTGTGTGCGTTTACAAACATACAAGTTCACATACACATAACACCCAGATCACACAAAGAGTTGTTCCGTACGGGAATCGAAACCGCGACACGTTGTGCGGCAGCCAGTTTGCCAGCCACGACACCAACCACCGTGAGCACCACCGTGTACACCGTGTCGTGTACAAAATTAACGTGTAAAAGTACTGCCTTGTAGCCTATTTGCAGAAATAAATTCACTTGTTTCACTTGTCCTCAGGAATGTCATCGGCGACGGAGACCTTTCGCGTCCGGCTCTAGTACTCGTCAAAGAGCAGGAGTAGAACTCGGGTGAAGGAACTTTACTTGCATGAAACTCATACATTTTTAATATTCTTTAATCTTCGCAAACAGCTGTTCTCTGAAAAGACAGCGCCAGTAGCGCCACACACTCTGGTTGCCAAGGGTTCTTATTACACATCAAACAACTTGCAAAAGTTGGGAAGAAATCATAATGTTTGATAAAAGGAGGCTTACAAAGCTATTTGAGATTAAGCAAGAGCAAGCAGCGGCTGAGGCCCTCCTCGCCGGCCGGCGGCGGAGGGCGGAGGGCGGAGGGCTGAGGGTCTCCTCGCGGCTCGCGGGTAATGAAAACAAAGTGGACGAAATGTTTTAATTAATTGCACTTTTTGTTTGTTGTTGACAATTTTGTAATTAATATGTGTCTACCGGAGCGGGATTAACAAGCTGGTATAATTAATGTTCAGGCGGGAGTGTCTGCGGGAGTACAGCGCGACTAAACTCTGCTTATTGCTTTTTATAATAAAATTATGATTATGAGTTTACGTAGCAATTAATTAGGAGTAGTTATAATGGCGACCAACACTGGGTGCGTGCAAGCTGGCCACGCTTACGTCACGGCACGTCTTATAACCTAATATTCATATTGTGAGTTCGATTCCCGCACGAAGCAATCCCCAACATTCGATCGTCTGGAGATGTCTTTGTGTATATGTAGTCGTGCGAACAATAAATAACGCTAATTAATCGACGTATATGATAGTCCCCTACTATGACAGTACCTACCCGCATTGTTATAATAAATTCATTTCGAAAGTGTCATATCAAAAACAAATATATTTTCGTATATATCGCAAGACCATTGTGTTATATAGGTACTACGTATAAACTCTACCATCTATATTCTTGAAACTGCGACTTTCGTAAAAACGAATCCTGATCTTTTCCCACGTCTGTCTGACACTGTGCCTCGGAATAGACGGGATAACAGCAGACTTCGCCTGAAACCCGCTAGGACTGCTCTTATGCACAAAAACGTTGTTTGTATGGCGCCAATAATTTATAATAAAATTCCACGGGATTATAAATGTTTAAACACCAATATGTTTAAGATAAAAATGAGACGCTTACTAGCAGAAAAGTGTTACTACTGTTTGAATGACTTTCTGGCTGACACTACTTTTTGACACTGTATTAATAAATGTAGACCGTAATAATATTTAATAATACTTTTTTGACATCTTTAATATGAATTGTAATTACTATAAATTGAATTTGTACGCCCCTAACGGCACAACATGTATTGGACACTGATTTAAACAATTAACATCTTGCATGCTTTTGTATGAATGACACATGTTTATGCAAATAAATTATCTTTATCTTTAACACAACACGATAGAGGAGAGAGTCCTAGTGAGGAGAGACTCTGGTTCCTAGTATTACAGATACAGATAAAAATATCTGATCAGAGTCAATAATGACATCCTGCTTTTAAAGCTCAGCACTTTAGGTTTCTGTCCGAACCTCCTGAGTCTTCTTGCAGATTACCTCCGGGATCGCCAACAGTTTGTTCGGCTAGGAACTTATGACTCGAGCCCTTACCACACACGCTCAGGCGTGAGTCAGGGGTCGATTCTTGGACCTTTACTTTTTCTGTTGATGATAAACGACCTACCATCAGTTCCCGAATACACAAAATGTCTTCTATACGCAGATGACCTCAAACTATATGCCAGTGTTAAAACTGTGCAGGACTGTGAAGCCATACAAAAGGATGTTGACGCCGTCTACGAATGGAGTGTTGCAAATAAAATGAATTTCAATGTATCCAAATGTTGTGTGATGACTTTTGGTCGAATGCGGCATCCAATCTACTACCAGTATAGACTGAATGGTACAGTTTTGCCCAGATCAGCAACAACGACAAAAGATTTGGGAGTCACTTTTGACCAGAAACTTACATTTCATGACCACATTGTCGTCGTCGCCAAGGAATCTTTCAAGAGACTTGGTTTCGTTCTTAGAAACTCAAAAGATTTCCGTAAAGACCATGTCATTCGGCTATTATACAATACGCTTGTTCGGAGCAAGCTCGAAGCCAGCTCTTGCGTGTGGAATCCTCATGAGGCCACTTATGCTCTTTTGTTAGAAAAGGTACAAAAAGCGTTCCTACGATTTTTGTATAAACGTCTGTTTGGTTACTACCCGTATCTGTATCCAACCAAATTCCTGACTGGATGTCTTGGATACAACACTCTGGAGACCAGACGGGAGTTTGACCAAGTAGGCATAATGCTTAAAGTGTGTCGTGGATTAACTGATGCTCCAGATCTTCACAATGAGTTGATACGACTATACGTGCCTGATAACTATCTTCGCAATAGGAACCATCGGCTCTTAGCAGTGCCTACTTCTCGCACTAATGCACGTGCGAAATCTCCAATTCCACGTGTTCTTGCTGCGTTTAACAACCTCATGAAGGTCTACCCGGATTGTGACTTGTTTAACGATAAGTATAAGGCTGTAATGTCTGTTTGTCTGGTGTATTGTGACTGATTGTGAGCAGAACCACATATAAAAATGTTATTTTATCTTGGTTTCCAGATTCTGTGTACCTACGTATATTGTTATTATTACTGTTATTTCATTTTAATTCTAAGTTGTTTTGTATTTTGTTTCGTGTATTTTTTTTTTGTGTCCATCTTTATTTGTTTTGTAATTTTACTATATTTTCTCATTTACTTTTAATACCCTTTTATATTATGTACTTTGATTTCGTTTTCTTTTTTATATTTTTTGTAATTTAATTTGATTAATGTAATTGGTGTCTACCGTGTTAATCAATAAACAATAAACAATAGTAAACAATAGTAATTTTTATGTGTGTTAACATGATATTGTTGTAACATATAGTATGGAACGCAATAAAGCATTGACTATTATTACTAGAGTACACGCAATGTATTGAGGAGCGTTTAAAAAAACTTTTCGTAATTTCGGTTCATTTCCTTCCCTTTTATCTGATACCGTGGGAGTAAGTCGAACCCAACCTATACCTTGTTTGAGTCGCGGAGAACCTAACGGGTAACCGGGGCTCCGGCTCGACGTGCAGGAGAAGGAACGGGGTGGTTTTTAGTCAGTAAGAGTCTGACACTCCCTTCCGCCTTTTCACCCAGGCGGGAGCAGTCATTCGATGATTTTCCCCCCTTAAAAAAAAAATACCTTGTTTGAGGAACAAGGGTTCCAATGAATTAAACAGTGTCACTGTATACGTCATCGCACGTCTGCTGGATTTCCCTCATCACAAAACAATGTTTGTGTAATATTTTATTGGACAATATCTGTTGCTTATTAACGGTTAATGGAGTGTGGTCGCGATGTAATTACAGCGGGCGAGCGAATGTTCATTATTTGATAAACAGCAGCAGGCAACGCGCGACGCGATGCCGGTACTTCCCCGGACTTGGCTCACTCTCATATTTTGTCATGTCAGTAAGTAAAGAAATCATCAAAGTAATGTTCCCTTCGTTTCTGATTATGTTCCAACTTTCAATTACTGGTATTGTACATAAATGTCTAATGTATAGTATCTACATACGTTAATTCAATAAGAAATAATAGTAACAAGTTTATAATAAGCATTAAGTTAAAAAATAATGCAATATGTACCTAATAGACTAGATGATTATAAAGTAATGTATAAGTTATATTGCTGCCCCCTAACAGGGTCATGTACTCACTAGTAGTATGTAATCCCCTGTGTATGTACATATGTACATAAATAAACAATCTCATGATGAAACTCACTAGCATTACTGTTCTTTGCAAAACACCATTGTGCTTGTCATTTACAGTATTATGGAATCTAAGCTGTGCTCAGTACCAAACCATTACGGGTCGTAACATAAGGCAGAAGTTGGTTTCAATGACGCGTGAGCTGGTGCTGGACGCCTGTCAGAAGATCGCCGCGATCCAGAGCTACCGGCGCGAGTACGCCCGGGCCGAAATCTTCCAGATGGGCGACATGATACACTACATGCGCAGCACCTTCAAGAAAATGACTAAAGTGTACCAGTTGACTGACGAGTACTACTACATAAGATACGCCGAAGGCTGGGTACGTCTGGTGCACCATCGAGACATCGCCATCATTTATGTTTCACTAATTCAGATACGCGAGGTGTGTACTGCACCGGTTGCACCACTCGCCCACTGTCCCCGACTACAGTCGCCGTCTCTCTCGCACATTATGTATTCTCGATGGCTATTTCATTGCCACGGACGGCTGTGTGACACGGCTTCCATTGTTCATCATTACTTCATCAGTTTTTACTTTCTCATTACACATCGATAGCTTCTGCTTGCGGCTTTGTCCGCGTTCCTCCAAACTTTCGCATTTGTAATATTAGAAGAATTAATATTATTAAAAGAATACTATGCCGATACTATGCGGAATGTTGAAGTAAGATATGATAGTAAGAAGTACTGGAATTGATAAATTAACGGACAAACCTGACAGTCTTTGACTGACAGATTTTATTTTGCATTTTGACGCTATTTTGAAACAAAATAGCGTCAAAATGCAAAATAAAATCTGTGGTTTTTAGTGAACATAAACATGTTCACTAAAAACCACTGATATGATAAGAGTAATTTATAAATCTATGCTAAAAACTACACTAGATAGTTTTGCTCAATCACATCAAAAGTCAAAAGTCAAAAATAATTTATTTCAATTAGACCAGGAAGGCACTTTTGAACGTCAGCAATAGAAATTTAAAAGTGAAGCTATTTGCTCATTCCAAGGTGTAGATTCCTATGGAGAAGAACGAGCAAGAAACTCCATAGGTTACTCTTTTCCAATCAGTTTCACAATACAATTCTTCAGTTACACAGTTTTATTGGTTTGATTGTGCGAGAACAATGTAACACCAAATCCAGCCAAAGAGATCGGAATCGGATGGTGCGGGATAAGCTCCGCACATGGGCTCCGCCCCCTGCGGTGCCCTATGCGGCGGTGCGCCGGATGGGCGCCAAGAACACCGCCCCGGGACCCGACGGACTGCACGGCAAGGCGTGGGTCCTGGCCTCGGAGGCTCTCGAGCCTCGATTAATTGGTCTCTACAGCGCATGCTTGGAGAGGGGCCAGTTCCCGCAATTGTTGAAGGCGGGTAAATTGGTCCAAGTGAAGAAGCCGGGGGGCCCTGCGGACTCTCCGTCCACGTACCGGCCCATCGTGTTGCTCGACGAGGTGGGAAAAGTTTTCGAAAGGATCATTTCGAACCGCCTCGTCGCGCACCTGTCGGATGTTGGGCCGGACTTATCGGACGGCCAGTTCGACTTCCGCAGAGGGCGTTCCACGGTGGACGCCATCATGCCTGTAAGAGACCTCACGACGGGGACTGCAGTGTCCAGGGGTAAGGTCGTAGTGGCGGTGTCCTTGGACATCGCCAATGCCTTCAACTCCCTGCCCTGGAGCTGCATTTTGGAGGCACTTCGATATCATCGGGTGCCCACCTATCTCCGTCGTGTAATGGAGGCATACCTGACGGAACGGTCCGTCATTTACCCCGGTCACCGAGGTGAGTGGAACCGACGAGAGACGTCGCGCGGTGTTCCACAGGGTTCGGTTTTGGGGCCGCTCCTGTGGAACATCGGCTATGACTGGGTGCTGCGCACCGACCTCCCGAACAACGTCAGCGTGGTCTGTTACGCTGACGACACACTGGTGGTAGCTCAAGGGAGGTCGCATCAGGCGGCGGCTAATTTAACGGCGAGAGCGGTTACGACAGTCGTTGAAAGAATCCGGCAACTGGGACTCGAGGTGGCGCTCCACAAGTCCGAGGCCATGTGTTTTTATGGCCGCGGGAACGCGCCACCTCCGGGTGAGTCTCAATTAACGGCGGGAGGAGTTACCATCGGCGTCGAGACGACGATGAAGTACCTAGGACTCGTCCTCGACAGTCGGTGGAACTTCGTGGAGCATTTCCGACGTTTGGCTCCTAAGTTGGAAAGGACGGGGGCGGCGCTTAAGCGCCTCCTACCCAACCTCGGGGGGCCAAACGCCTCCTGCCGGAGGTTATACGCCGGGGTCGTGCGGTCCATGGCCCTCTACGGCGCCCCTGTGTGGGCGCCGAACCTGATGCGGCGGCCCGCTCGGGCGCTGCTCACATCACAGAGGGTCATGGCGATCCGATTGATACGCGGATATCGCACGATCTCCGGGGAGGCGGCGAACCTCCTTGCCGGATTACCGCCGTGGGATCTGGAGGCGAAGGTGCTCGCGCGCGTGTTTTGTTTGCGCGCGGAGGCACGTCGCCGGGGCGAATCTCCGCTGCCGCGCCAGATTAATGCGTGGCGGGATGAGCTCCGGCGTGATCTCATGGCGGAATGGCAGCAACGACTGTCGCAACCGAAGGCTGGGCTCGCTGTCATTGCAGCGGTAAGTCCCCTCTTTGAGGAGTGGCTTGAGAGACGCTACGGCGTCCTCACCTACCGCCTGACTCAGGTGCTTACCGGACACGGAAGTTTCGGTAGGTTCCTGTTTCGGATTGGGCGGGAGGAAACGCCCGGGTGTCATCACTGCGAGGATCGCCCGGAGGACACGGTGGAGCATACGGTGGCGGTGTGTCCTGCGTGGACTGAGCACCGCCGTGTCCTCAGGAATGTGATCGGCGACGGCGGGAGAAGTCATTGGATGATTTTCCACCCTCAAAAAAAAAAAAGCCAAAGAGATCGAAAAAGAAAATAACCCTTAAAGACAATAAATAATACAGTCTGGAGCTGACCAGTCACAGTTGACGGCGCTCGTTCACGAACATGACACGTACATCAGCACCGTCCAACTCAACCATATTGCAGGGAATCTAGCGGCCCAATGCACGTGCCACCGCCAATGAGATCTTTGAGTGAACATGACAACTCCAAGCTGACATAAATGCATTCTACTAGTCCAATTTGAGGTAGTATTTAGTTAATTACAGGGCTCTCACATTAACAATGATTATGTAAGTTAAACAATATACATTTTAGCAACTACGTTGTAATATTTAGGTTGAATTTCATTGACACATCAATGTTTTTCGTTATCCCGTGGAACTGGACCAGCCTGCATCCAAGCATTTTTATCTTCTATATAATCATTAATTTTGTAATACATACATGTACATAAAGTTTTTTTTATACATTATTTAAACTTTGTTTCAATTAGGTGTTGTATATCGCTTGGTATCTTGTTATAACATTGAACAACGAATCCCATGAACGATTTACTTACTTTCAATCTCAAAATTGGCTGACTTAATCTATCCTTATGTCTAGTTTGATAGTGGTGTCTGTCCGACACTTTACCAAATAACTGTAGATTTTTCCTAACATACATCATGTTTTCATAGATAAATTGACATGGAACGGTCATAATGTTGATCTCTCTAAACCTCTCTCGGAGAGATTCGCGACGACCTAGGTTGTAGATAGCTCTGACGGCGCGCTTTTGTAAGATAAAGTTAGACTCAATGTCAGTTAACTTCTTTCCAACCTTCTTCTTCTTCAGTGCTTTCTTCTCTTTCTCTCTTTTCTGCTCTCGACTGCTCCTTTTTATTCTTATTAAGATCGTCATCAATGATATCCATGTCCGCGGAATCATTTAATAAGCTCTGTATGTCATTTCTGGCTATAGGTACAGGTGTATCACACCGCGAAGGAATGTTTACGTAATCCTCAGTCATTGTGCGGTCAAGTTAGGTACCTGCAACCGGAGGGACCGGCGCACACCTGTGGTACGTGATAGCGTAAACAACTATTTGCACAAAAAATAATATAACAATTCGATCCGCGACAAAAAAACACAACCAGACCGAACGAGTGCCAGCACGGTGAATGCTATAGTACCATAATTATCGGTACATATAAAAAAAAACATTTAAAAAATTAAAAGACCCGATTATAAAAAAACAAAAAAGTAACAAAACAAGTTCGGTTCAGAAGCATAGTAAGTAAGTTAATTAAGACATAGGCGGGAGTAGCAGTGACCGTAGTGTTCCACGCGCGCCACTCGAGGAAGAGACGCAGCCTCCAGGACCAGTACGGGCAACTACGGGCCACTACGGGCCACGGTCACAGGCTCTGGAGGAACACCGCGGTGGTCTTAGACGAAGAGAGTCCTGCACAAACGAAATTGTTTGGTTACTCTTTAGTTCTTTTACAGTCAGGTTTTTTAAATTAATTTATTTTATTTTAAGTTTTTAAATTCCAAATAGTTGTACTTTATTATCATTTTGAAATGCATTGCATATGTACAAAAGTATCGAGGCAATATACATCCGTCTTGTGTATTTTATAAAGATAATAAAAATGTAAATTTTGTCTTTATTGTAAACATGGCACACCATTTTGAAATCCTTTCGATGAGCCTTCTTTAATTTGACATCCATGTTGCAATATTTCAAGAACAAACAAATATTTGTACTCTACACTGTAGCGTCTGACAGTCGCCTTGTTGGGTTTTTTTCAATGTCACATATGTAAGAACAATTGGGTTATCAAGACGTATCTAAAGATATACCTAAACCAGTTGGGTGGTTTAGAAGAAACGAGGTAATAAAGAGTATTATATCATCTACGTACGAGATACGCGAAAAACAATACCTCCCTTTCTTCAGTCGGGTCAACTATGTCCACATTACAATTTCAACAGTATCTACAATGTATTGTTCGCTAAAATGTTCGTCTTACAAAATAATGAAAGCTGTTTCTGATGTGCCTTCAGCCCGCGCCGCGTATCGAGGCCAGAAATAGTACTGAGGAAATTGGTAATTAGTAGGAGCGAGGGAGTCACGCTTTTCCAGCTTTTCAATCACCATCATGAGCCCGTGTTCGTCCTCTGCTGGACATACCTAGGCCTCTCCATTGGCACGCCATTGAGCTCGCTCTTCACCTCTTCTCATCAGTTGTTTATTTGTAATGTACTGATTATTTTAACATTCGGTTTTTTGTAACGTATTATTTTCTGCAGTTCCTCCAGAATTTACAAGAACTAACTCTACAAGCCAGTATGGTTGATACTATGCTCAATATTATAAAAGAAGGGACGGCGAAAAAAGAAACAAAGGCTATGCTGCACGCGCGGATGCAGCGCGTGCTGCGCAGCGGCAAGAAGCGCCCGCGCGCGTCCCCCAGCCAGCCCAGCCCGCCCAGGCGTACCACCAAGAGGAGGAATCAGAAGTGGAGACATGTCGTAGATAACGACTTTGTAAAAGTGTAGAGTTTGGTTTGTTGATGGCAGCCTGAAACCAGATAAATCGTGACTTAGCTCTGCATCAGTTCAACTAGTTTGTGTATTAATGCGACGTGTCATACTGACGGTACCAAGAGTTTACAACGTGTCTCACTTGCTCTGTTCTAAGACACTCGACTCTTTCACATATTCGTGGCTAATATCAACAGGCGTTTTGTAATTTTGCTTAAATGTCGAGTGTTTACTGGATCTTGGATATGTTTCACTTTAGTTGTTATAATCTCAACTTGAAATCAAATTATTTGTTCTGTTATGTAAGCTATTGTATACTCATTCATGGAAATAAATATTATCAAATTCACAACACTGATAGACAATAAGTACGAGTCCGAAATGCCGATCATCCGTCAATCTCCCCTCCTGTTCGGCGGAAGTGTCCACCACGCATGTACACCATTGTATTCATTAAATATATTTATAAAATAGCATGTCGCGACTGATCGATTGCCTGACTGATTCATCATCACCGAGCCCAAACTATCAATACTACAAATATGGAATTCGTACTGTTCTATTCACTATTTATTTATTTATTTCAATTAAATAGTATAACATTACAGTCATAAAAAGATGGCACCTACTAAGAAAGGATTTTAAATAAGTGATACATATATATATATAGAACATGGAAGGCGTACAGCTAATAAAACCAAATTAAAAATAACAATAAGCGCAGGTATCGTCGAACCGATTACAAGACTTCACGTTTAGAATTATGAACTTAATGTGGTGTGACTGTGTGGGTACTGAATAAAATTAAATTATACAGAGAGTACAAGTACATGGAAAAATACAAAATACAAAAATATAGAGTATGCATACCACAATGCAAACAATCTGATTTCCAAAAAAGAAGTATATAATAGTATATATGTAATTGCTGCTAGAAAAAATTTGAGGCCTAAGCACTATTTTGCCGAATTATAAAAGGTAATTGTAAAAGGATCGAAGTACAATTGGAAGGAAACGTGTGTGTCGCTACATAGACACTAAGCGAGTTCCTTTTAGCGACTTTAAAAATGTGGAGGTACAAGGAGATCTCGTTGCCATCAGGTCTGTAGGAGTAGCGACCGAAGTGATATGGACTTGCTATGCTGATAAATTTGCGGGGTCGAAGCGGGGTGGGGGAATGGTACTCCCGATTCCCGCGTACAATGGTGCCAACTTAATAATTATCTAAGGCGGCGCGGCGTGTTACAATACTTTAAAAACTCCAAGGATTTATTGCAAAAAAACGGTAAAATTACGCTAAATGAGTACGACCGCACCCGGTTTGCTGTCCGAATATGTACTGAAGCCACGCTGCACTTAGCGTGTCGTGTTTGGGTTGCTAGATCAGCAAAACGTGTTCGATCGTGGATAATGTATCGAACAAGGTCTCTTAGGCAGGATCTGATAATAATGGGTTCCCAGAGAAACCGAGAGGAACATTTGAATATTGTGTAATTATAATAATAGGTGTGTAACATAACATAACATAACATCACGCCTTTTTATCCCCGAAGGGGTAGGCAGAGGTGCACATTACGGCACTTAATGCCACTGTACAAT